ATTTCCAAAATGGGACAAGGTTTTCAAACGCAGTTTCACAAACACACTGGATCCAATAAAATCAGTCGTAAAGCTTACGAAATGTTTGATTTCAGTGAAGAATGCCAGATTAAACAGCACTAAACAAGGCACGCTTCAATTACCCTAATGTAAATGGTCATGTATAAGAGTTTTTTTTGGTTTACTTTCTCCTAATGATGTCCTGCTGATATACAAGGTCTACATGAATGTATAGGCCCTAACACTATTCCCCAAGGCCCATAACTGTGTACTAGGTAGTAAGTGAACATGTGTAAGAGCCTCACCTACAGTGGCGGAAATGTTAGTGTAGGCAGAGTCATTGGTATACACAGAGGAAGAATTATGTGTAGTCAGGACAGTGTGGTTGTGGATTCTCACAGCTGTGATGGAGAGAACGTGGAAACAACAAAGAAAGTGAGACAGAAAAAAAACAGGTGATTCAGCAACAGACATATGTACAAATGAGCACAGAGACATGAAACAGAAAAAAGGGACATTGTGAGAAACTCAGGCAGACATGGTGGACAAGATGACTAGTGTCCCAGTGTAACATTCAAAGAAGCATTCAGATTTTAAGATATCTTTTAGATCTGCACATGGGACACATTGTGTCGACACAAGTCTTGAGGCGCCCAGAGAATTCCTCTCAACCCTCCATTTGTTCTGAATTAGCCGCCACAGAACAACTGCCATACTGTACTTATACTGGGAATATACTTCAGCTATGGAATGGCGTGTGGTTGTTTGTCTTACACACACACATTTTCAGCAGATCTGATGAGGGCATTTCAGAGTTATCTAAAAATCCAAGTGGACTAGTAAATCACTGAGAGAAACTGTGTGTACTTTTGACACCCTTAAATGTCATAGTCTTTTGTCTTCATCACAAATGAGGTAATCATGTAAGTTTCAAATCAAATAAATCATTTCATTTTAAGAACTGAAGACAGCTGCAAAGCCATAGAGATTTCTGCAACTAAGACGTGACCGTAGAAGAATGCTAAACAGCTGTGGAGAAAGAAAGAAAGAAAGAAAGAAAGACAAAGCAGGTGTGACATACTTATATTAGTCCCATTAACATGACCTGTTCTGTTCCCAATCTGGTCTGAAAGGCTGTGGATCCCTTCCACTGAATCCAGGGGCCAGTAGTGTGAAGCTGTGGCCAGCACCTGCAGGCCTGAGCACAACACACACATCCATATCCAAAGAGACAAAATGCTAAGTTTTATCTTCTTGTTCTGCAACTTAATTGTTTTCAGAAAAGCTTTATTTTAGTGAATATAAACTCTTTATCTATCTATCTATCTATCTATCTATAGTTTGTTTCTTTATTCGTTTTCTATTATGTACTGTATTACCTGCAAAGATGTCCTCATTTTCTGAGTTTCATAACATATGTCATAACATTTCACAACAGCCAAAAGATGATCTCAGTACTGAATCAATTTTCCTTAGTCAAACGTGTAATTTTATGAAACTAGATAAGATTTGAAGCAAATTTGGAGCAGAAAGTGTTATTGTGGATGAGGATGTTGGTCTCTATTTATAGACAGTGAACGGACATTTTAATGTTAAATGTCGATCCGTCGTCAATATAACTGCGATTACAGTGACGTATTCAGAGTTTCATTACAAATAAGGGAACTTTGAAAAAAAAAAATCATTTACATTTTCGTTTAAATTTCGTTTCAATCGTACAAACGATCATTTATGTTTATTATACTAAGTAATAATGACAAGGATGTGATGAATAAATGAACCTTTTAAATTCAACACAACTGAGAAAAAAAGCCATCCTCAATTTAATTTAAGATTCATTTGTGTATAGCCTTTTATTGTATAAATAATACAACAAATTTGCTCTAAATGATTTACACATTTCTATTAGTTTTGAAGTAAAAAAAAAAAAAAAGAAAAAAAAAAAAGAATACAATTGTGAATTTTAACTGATCTTTTACCTGGATGTTTTGACGGTGATACTATGTCACTACGAACCTGAAAGAAATAAAACATTCAACTTATCAACTGACTTTGCATTAAAACCCACATCAAAACCGCATTAAAAACCAACGCTTCTTCTGTTCATAAAAACAAGTATCTTACCTGAACGGTCAGGAGAGTCATAAGTAGAACTTTACAGTATTTTAAGTCCATTGTTTTCAAAGGCGTTTTTAGCAATAAATAAGTTACAAATTTGAAATCTATATTGCGCCGTTAATGGTAAACGAACAAAATCATTGCGCGTATATAAATGTGAAGATATTGTTAGAGTAGCCTATATTTTTAAGAAGAAGAAAACCCTATGAGTGCGTCAGAATAGGACGTTCAAAATGCCAGCAGGTATGTAATTAGCAACTTAATTCAGCAACTTAATTCAGAGTTTGTAATCCATCGCCTCAGAATCCGTGTGTGAGCTCTGATGCAGAACCAGCGCCGCGCTCGCGCTCTCATCAGTGGGTTGAGCCCTTTGGGCGGTCAAAGTTACTACAGTTTCTTATTGGACACGAAGTTGTTTTCGTGCGGGGGGGGGGCGCGCGTTATATGAGGGCTTAAGAAAGCCGAATCCCCCATTGATTAGCATTTTTGTCTTAGTGTAGATATTATTACATTACAGTTATGGTTTAAATCTATTCATTACAAATAATTGTACCTGCTATCTGAAAGGAATTCCGTCCCGTCAGTCTCTATAACCTTACACAGTAATCTCAAGCAATAATGATTGGCTTATCCAGAGCAGCGTAGAGAATAGTAACAGGTACCCCGTGGCAACGTCGCCTTTATGGTGCTTCTCCAACCATCTGAATTTACACAATTTTTTTTACATGAATAATGACAACGAGAATCGCTACAATGTATTGAAATTCAAATACACAGAAAAAAATAAATAAAAAATTGGCTTAAACCCATTTCGAGACCCAAGTAATCCCTAGTGCCATCCCACCCACTTTTTCTGCTCAAGTATTTGAGCATCTGGACATGGGAATTCTGTAATTATATCTCTAATTATGTCATTTGTTAGATTACCCCCCCCCAAAAAAAAAAAACCCTGCAGAGCTAAAAACAAGTGCATGAAAATGTGGTTTGTTATTCTGCCAAAAGACGGGGCAAAAAGAGCAAGTAAGAATCATTCATTATACTGTTTTTGAGTGTGTTTAAGAGAGAGATCTTTGATTTTACAACTTTACAATGTAGTAGGTATTATTAAAGAGCAGAGGGAAAAACTATTTATATTCCCTTTTTGTTTTAAATTACTACATCGGCGGGCAACTATGTACTTTTGGCGCCATCTTTCGTAAGTTTATGATTATATTTTATCTACCCTCACCAAAATAACTCATTCACTCACCTGTAAAACTGCAGAAACTTGACTTGAGTTAATAAAATAACACACAATAACACAACAGTGTGTATAAAATATCAAATTTATTTCGATATAAAACTGCACATGCACACTCACACAATATTTGATGACCATCAATACAGGCTTATAATTCTTTTTCATAAAGCTAGCACACAATTGCAGACTTTAAAACATTACGGTTTGAAGACACAACGAGGAAAGCTTGCACTGTCAGATTATAAAGTTTAATGTACAAAAAAGGCAGTCTGAAAAGCAAGTATAAACATTTAAAAAGAATGTACAAATGGACAAAAAGTACAAAAAGAGCAGCAGTCACTCAAACATGTAGAAGCAATGCTCTGTAACAGATCTTATGATTAAATGATTCGAAATAAATAAATAAATAAAACTGTTATTCTGATGAATTAAAACGCCTGGAATTTTGGCTGAAAATTGTACAAGGTATACAGAATGTTTCTCATACATTCCTGTTTTTTGGCAGACTCGGTCCATCCTTGCAAACCTACTTTTATTATGTTCGTTCAGGACAAAATGAAGGGTTGAAGTGACAAACAAATATAATGAACAATGTATGGAGAAGAAATACAGTACAGACTGGATGAAACGGATCACATATTGGAGACGGAGGAACTGTTAGAAATGTTTCCGGGAAGGTTTTCCTTGGCCATACATTCACAATTGCTCATTTCCTTCATCCTTATCAAGTACAGAATATGTGCATCATGTTATTCAAATGATTTGGATGCTGAGAGAGGCATCAGTGAGTCAAGAACCAAACTTATTTATGTAAAACTATGAATAAGTTGTGCTAAAAGTGGAAATTAAGGGCCCTGTTTGTGAAAACATACACAACTTCGGTGTAAATCGTAAATAAAAACATTCTTATGCAAATTGTTGCATTCAGCTGCACAATTTACACGTGAATGGATTTATGGACCATTTAAACAGACATTTGTTCCTTCCAAAGTGACTAAACAAAGTTAGAATCCCTCCTTCCCTACTTTTGACACCCATTCCAAAAAACAAACAAAAAAAAAACACTTGGTCACACAGATTCAAAATACACCTTTTTCATCAGAAGGAAAGCATCGACATGACTGCATACGACACAGACAAATCTCACCCAACTGACTGGACACAACACAAACCATTGTGCACTGAATAAGGCAAATATGAGGAGGCTCACTTCCACTAGGAGTTTCATGACCTGTCGGTGCTTTAAAAAAAAAAAATCCTGTCAAAAGTGGCAGAACACACTGTTTTCCCTCAAGGTATTTGTACAAATATAAGCCCTGTCTAGTCACAGCAAAACCTACATTTCATATTTGTGCTAACTCCTAAAACTTTGTGCTAGGTTATTAGGTTATTCACTGCAGGTCTAGCTGAAAAATGTGCCAAAAATATAGTTTAATAATTATTATTATTAGTAGTAGTAGTATTGAATATTTGTTACATTAAAATAATATGACATTTTATTAAATTTAAGAAATATACAATTTATTATTATAATAATTACAATTATAATTATTATTTGATTAAATATTAAACAACTTTATTCAATAATAAAATTGAATGTCCATTAAAATGAATACAATTAAATATTTTTCTAATTAAATAAATATAGATTTTATTTTATTATCCAAGAACATCCCTTGCATTGTATATTTATAACAAGACATCTTAGTAAGTCACATTACGTGAGCGTTTCTGTGCTTTTAAGAATCAAACATGGGCAGACAGAACTTGCAGAACAGTTTCAATGGCATAAAGCTGAAGTTGTGGTCATGAAAGCCCTAGTTTCCACCATTTCCCTTTCTCTTTTCCATGGCCAATCCAAGTGATTACAGAAACAGAAGATGGGAGAAATGTTCTTTTCCCCACCTTCTAAGGTAATTTCTCTGCAATTCCAACCTCCTTATCTCGGCTGCTGTGAGGAGAGTTATGTGAAACTATTTGACAGCACCAAGCCTTTTTAATAGATTCTTTCCTTTGGAGAGCAGTCCTGTTTTCTTAGAGTCAGCTCGGGGGCGCCGGATGGGACTGCCGGGCCCCTGGGCTGCGGGGCCAGACCCCGGGATCTGTAGGCGCACTGTGGGGGTGGCACTTCTTCTGGGAGGGCCCGCTTTTTCCACGGGAACCTAACGGAAGACCCGCAAGGGACAGTTCAGGGCTGGATGTTTAAAAAGAAAAGAAGGTGTTTCTTTGCCTTTTAAAGCATCTCAATGTCATTACTGTACAACAGACACTCCATCTCCTCTCACAGTCCTTTCTGTCCCAGCAGGGCCACCTTACAGTCAATTATCAATCAATAGTACATTTTGCATCATGAATAATACACCCAGACAGCAGGGGGCGGCGCTCTAAACAGTAATCTATGAATGATTTGTGGTGAAACCCGAAAAATCGAGAGTGCTTCACTTCAGATTCTAGCTAAACTCTCATTAAAATATTAATAAACTGTTCAGACTGCATGTGCAACAAAAAAATCATAAGACATTTACTGTTTATACACATTGACATGACAGTAATCTCAGTTTTAGTGACAATCATCTAATTAGGAACTCCTTAAAGGAATAGTTCAACCAGAGATGAACATTTGCTGAAAATGTACTCAACCTCAGGCCATTCAAGATGTAGATGAGTTTGTTTCTTCATCAAAACATATTTGGAGAAATTATTAGTATTAGTATAAGTATTACATCACTTGCTCACCAGTGGATCCTCTGCAGTGAATGGGTGCCGTCAGGAAAACATCAAAGTCAGACTAGACAACTTTTTCACTGGAGAAAGTAATATTAATAGCCAGAAGCAATGGTTTAAAGTTAAAAAACATCTTAATGACACACAAGACGTTAACGGATGTCTGGATTACTTGTGGACTATTGTGATGTTTTAATCAGCTGTTTGGACTCTCATTCTGACGGCACCCATTCACTGCAGAGGATCCATTGGTGAGCAAGTGATGCAATGTTACATTTCTCCAAATCTGTTCCGATGAAAAAACAAACCCATCTACATCTTGGATGGCCAGAGGATGAGTACATTTTCAGCAAATTTCCATTTTGGGTGAACTATTACTTTAACAGCAAAAACATATCTTTTACATGCCATAATTTGCCCTTAATATCAGTTGTATAGTTGCATAACACAACATTTAAATGAATATTTATGCTAACAGTAAAAAAGCTAAAGTGGCTGCAAGAATGCATAAACTTAACAATCAATTCAGTCAAGTTTAGGAAACAGTAGAAACAGTAT